ACACCATAGATTCTTGAACCCATTTAACAATTATAACCTAGTATCTCAAGCAATGGAGTGTAAGCTTCAATTCTTTATGCTTTTAATGAACTTAATTATGTGTTCTATTTCTTTGACTTTAGGAAAATATTGAGCATGTCACTTTCTAGACTCTTGGCGTGGGAATACAACCAATTGACTATCATTAATTCAAAAGAAAATATGTGAATTATTGAATTTGCTTTTGTTGTTATAATATTTGCTTTGACCTTGAGCCTTGTTCAAATTGACAGGATGATGCCATCCTACTTCTGTTTACAGCTCTTATTGGGCATGTCACCTAGGTATGCTGACACAATTGAAAAATGATTCCTTGCCTTTAATTATTACTTGTTATAAATAATTTATTACTACACATTAAAAGATTTAGGGTTTCGCGCCCGGCGCATAAGTCTTCCAGAGGCTTTCCAGCATTCTCTGCCTTAGAGCAAGCCCGGCGCAATTCTCTATTAAGCCCGGCGCATGTATGACTTCTAAAAGATCCACTGCTCTATTCTTCTCAAGCCCGACGCAGCGTCAACTTGCGCCTGGCGCAGCCACTCTACTCTGCTCCTTGGCTCCTTATGTTTCCAATCCCAAAGATCTTCAATCCTCAAATCTCTAGCTCAATACCTGCACCAAAAATGAGGTGTATTAAGGTATTGTTAGCTAAATTTGGGTTAGTTATATCTGCACACAAAATGAACCAAAAAGAGAACAATTATATTGCAATGGTTCAGAGGATGAGTGGAATTTGTTTAATAAGTCTCATCCAAAAAAGAGGTAAAATTAAGACTTAACAATAATAAAATATCTTATCAAAACAAAACTTATCAAAAACTATCTTATCAAATAACTCAAAAAGATAAAACAAACTAAACAGATAATTCCGAATAACTAACTCGAATATCTCTAAAATTTAAGATTATCTAACAATTTACCCCTTGCACAGTTTGTAAACAAAATCTTAACACTAATTAAAGCATTTGATAAATATAACCTACTTTAAATTAACAGTAGATAAATTCAAACATATGAATATCAAGAAAGCATCTTACTTGTGTGGTGCAAAAGGAAAGAGTCTTTGAAAAAGCATCCAATCCAACTGCATAGGGTGTGATGTGATACCAACCATCACTACACTTTGTGTTGAAGCCGAGCGAGTAAAAGTAATGAGAGTTTAGTGAAGTCAACTATCATTGCATCTATAAAGAACCAATCGAATTAATTGCAACCAATTTCTTACCTTTCTCATTCAACTCTTAATATCACTTGTTCTTGAGATCATGGCTGCAGCAGTCGTAGGTGTTTTTGACAGGCTGGCTTCACCTGAGGTTGTCAACTTTATCCGTGGAAACAAGCTTGACAAGAAGTCTTGCATTTATGTTGACGAGAGATGGATTTAGTAACCAATATAAGTAATACAGACATAATATATTATTTGTTAGTCCAACAAGTTATTTTGATTAGAAACAAGAACTCAAGAAGTTTGAGGGATGCATGATGGTTGATGGGTATGGTCTTTGATCTTTACAATTTTAATTGAACTATTAAACCACAAATATTATGGAAATCAAATACATTCCAGGGGTGAAACTCCACTACAACAGCCCAAGTATAATTAATTCATGATCATGAATTTTTCTTTTGATGTTATTCAAATGCCATATTCTGCTTATATTTCTTTCTTCTTTTTTTTCCCCCCTTTTTAGGAGACACAACTGCTAACCAGCTAGACAAACATTATACAATTTTATGGTAGCGAAAAAAGTAAGTATATATTATATAATGTTTTGATTTATGTCTTGACAAATATCCGTAGTTTACCACTGATTCCTAAAAGAGATATAAAAGTTTCTACATATTTTGTTTGTGTTTGCAGAATGGAGACCGAATCTCTTATATATGGAATGTGTCCATCCCACTTCAACTGAGGAATGCATTAATATACTGAACAATGCTCTCATAGTTGAATATGTTGCAATAATACATCACTTAGTATACGGAAAAAAAGAAGTTAAAGTGAAAAGAACAAAAAAAAATACACTTTAAATTATTTTTATTGGTTTTAAAAAATGACTACAAAATCATCTTAATTTAGAAAGGTACCATAGTAATTTCTTTTTTTAATATAATTATGATAAAAGTTAACAAATTTATCATTGATTAAATGGTAATGTAAAAATTTTACAGTAAGCACACATACTATTTGCGCTTATAAATAAGGTTTCAATTTTCATATTTTAGTGAGTGGTACAATTTATGATAATCATGATATAAATTTCAAAATTAAATTAGAAGTATTCTTTCTCATTTTTTCGTGTTTGTTCCTTGTTAGTGTGGTATTTTAAGTTGGACTGGCAGTCTTTGTTTAAAGTTTCAAGCAAATATATTACTTATCCGCTTGCACACAGTACAATTTAAAGATTGTTAACAGTAACAAAATGAAAACACATAGTAGATGCTTATCCACTTTAGAAAGGTTTATACCTAATTTGGAATGCTGCGTGTAATATTTCTAAATGACAAAATAATCACTATTTATACAATATTCATTAAAATAATATTTTTTTCCTAATTTATAATAATTAAAGTAAAAATAATAATATCATCAATATCAAACCTATTTTTGAGACATTACTTGTTTTAATGGAATCGTTTTCAAGAAGAGCCAAGGGTTGATTTGAAAGCAACTATTATTGCCAACATTCATGGAACAATGACAGATAACAAATATGAATATGATGTTTTTTAATATGTAAATGTGATAGAGTATTGACTAACATCTGGTCATGCCGGGACAAATATGTTCCCGTGCACTTGCTATTGACCACTTATAGTTGAGAGTAGAAATTGTATTCATTTTCAAATGACATGTTTTTAAAATGAGCATGTTTAGATAAAAATTTTCAAACACTTATAGAAGAAAAAATATTAAAGAAGAATGAAATTATTTTTTTCATTAGTTATAAATTTATAATTAACTTATGCAAAGCCTAAAAATTAGTATGCAAAAATTTCTATAAATAGTTTATGCATAAACTAATTTTGGTTTACAAAAAAAACATCTTTCATTTTTTCTTCATGTATTCTTTTATAATTATTTATAACGAAGCTTATTCAAAGACACTAATCAATTTCCATTAGTTAAACAGATTTTAATTAAGTTTTTGCCCGCAAACAATCAACAAAGGTTCATGCACAAATTGCGTGAACTTTGATACAACTACAATAGCCACCATTATAACACATCTGGTCTTGATCAAGGGCTAAGTTGTGTTTAAATTTATAATGATTGGTTTGAGGCTTGAATCCCTCTAAATTTGAAAAGAATCGCATGTCCAAGCTCGGTTCATATAAAATTTGAAGAGAATTGCACGGAAACAGCATTCAATCCTACAGAAGATTTGGTAATTGCTAAAAGCTAGTATATTTGAATAACATTCTCGGTTTACTTTCATTTTCTTCTCTCTAAAAAAGTGGTTGACTCCATCCAGGTTAGCAAAATGAAGAGAGATACGAACCTTTATTTTCCTCAACTTCCACTGCATTTGCAGTTGCAACCAATCCCCTTAAAAGATCTCAAGGAAACTGAACTTAGGTCGACTCTAAACTTTTGACGAACTTTTTAGTCTGTCATAAAAAAATATACAAGTGAGCAAGTAACCATAAATTCAACAATTAGAAGTTAAATGAGTTTTTGGGAGTGCAGGCAAAAAAAGAATACATGTAGCAGTATATTCAAATTATACCTGTTCTAAGGTTAGAAACATGATCACATTCCAAGATCCCAGCTGTCCAAAGTTTGGGAGGAACCCTTTATAAAAAGGCAAAGGGTCCCTGAAAAAATATATAAAACATTAACAAATTAGTTTTGGTATCGGTGTACATATGTCCTTACACAGAAAAATATAATGAAGCAAAAGAAAAGGAAAAGATAGAAAGAAAGAAAAAAAAAAAAAAAAAAAAAAAAAAAAAAAAAAAACAGGAAGATTATGTTACACATAAAGCAAGTCAATTTGATTTGAGTGCATATATATAAGCTGGGGTAAGAAATGAGAATGTATAAATATATATCAAATAACTAGAAGGGACAAAAGTAGGTTTGTTCAGCCTGCCACTTTTGCAGATTATACCCACTGCTTACAACTACTTAGACGTGATCAAATGCTGCAAAGAATTTTATTCACCATAGCTATGAAATGACAAAGGATCCAAATAGTTAATGATTGTAACTTGTGGCTAAAGCAAAATCATGGTATATGATCTTACGAGAACAAAACGATAACAACGTAAAGTAACTTACATCATTCTTTAATGTTTTGATAAAACAATCAAGAGTGCTTTTGTAACTAGAATCCCCCATCATTCTCCATTTAATTTGCATATACACTAGAATGAAGATAGAACAACAAAATTAGTGGAAAGCTCACTTGATCACCTTGCAACCAAATAAAAATGGGGTAAGAAATTATACACATTTACTGCAATGTGTTAGATAATCTTAAATTTTAGAGATATCCGAGTTAGTTATTCAGAATTTTGTTTAGTCTATTTTATCTTTTGAGTTATTTGTTTCAGTTTAGATAAGATAGTTTTTTATAAGATTTGTTTTTAAGATATTTTTTGTTATCTTCTTGTTAATTTCGTACGTTGTACAGTGGCTATTTAAAGGTCATCTCTTATTTAATGAAAGAACAGTGAGTTGCTACGATCACCCATAATTTTAGTACTACTCGTCTCTCTTTATTTTTCTACAAATTGGTATCAGAGCTTTATGCTCTGAGTGCCGAGTGTGAGAGGAAAACAGTGTGCGCCTGTGTGAAGAAAGAGATCAGTAATGGCGAAGGTTGTGAATGGAATGACCGTACCACAATTGTCAAAGAAAACCAATTATGAAAATTGGTGTTTACAGATGAAGACCCTGTTGGGTTCCCAAAGTCTATGGGACATAGTGGAGAAGGGGTACCGAGAACCCGAGGAGGAAGAAGACCAATCTGTGGCTCAGATTGCCACATTGGAGAAGACACGAGTAAAGGACAAATCGGCTTTGTATTTTTTGTACAATGCTGTGGATGAATCAGGCTTCGAGAAGATTGCAAACGCTGCGTCTTCAAAGGAAGCATGGGAGATCTTGGAGGTTGTGCATAGAGGTAACCACTGTGTCAGACAGATCCAACTTCAAACTCTCCGAGGAGAGTTTGAGTGTTTGAAGATGGAGGATAAGGAACGAGTATGTGAGTACATAACTCGGGTGGAGAAGGTGGCAAATCAACTCGGAAGGAATGGGGAGCCAATGCCAGCAAGTAGAATTGTGGAGAAAATTTTGAGATCATTAACAGATGATTTCAAGAGCATTGCATGCGTAATTGAGGAGTCAAAGGACTTGTCACTTCTCTCAGTGGAAGAGCTCGCAGGATCACTCGAAGCCCACGAATAAAGGAGGAGGAAGATGAAGGATACTCTTGATCAAGCATTACAAGCGCAACTTGATTTGAATGGAACTCGGAACACCCAGGACCGAAGATCAAGTGGACAAGGACGAGGTGGTCAAGGACGAGGTAGAGGACGAGATGATCATGAAGGTGGACAAGGACGAGGTGATCGTAGCCAAGGAAGTCAGCCAAGGTCGGAGGTGGAATGTTATAAGTGTGGCAAACACGGCCACTATGCAAAGGAATGTGGACAAGGACGAGGTGATCGTAGCCAAGGAAGTTAGACAAGGTCGGAGGTAGAATGTTATAAGTGTGGCAAACAGGGGGAAGAAAGAAGAAAGAGAGAGTAATGGCAAAGGTTGTGAATGGAATGACCGTACCACAATTGTCAAAGAAAACCAATTATGATAATTGGTGTTTACAGATGAAGACCCTGTTGGGTTCCCAAAGTCTATGGGACATAGTAGAGAAGGGGTACCGAGAACCCGAGGAGGAAGAAGACCAATCTGTGGCTCAGATTGCCACATTGGAGAAGACACGAGTAAAGGACAAATCGGCTTTGTATTTTTTGTACAATGCTGTGGATGAATCAGGCTTCGAGAAGATTGCAAACGCTGCGTCTTCAAAGGAAGCATGGGAGATCTTGGAGGTTGTGCATAGAGGTAACCACTGTGTCAGACAGATCCAACTTCAAACTCTCCGAGGAGAGTTTGAGTGTTTGAAGATGGAGGATAAGGAACGAGTATGTGAGTACATAACTCGGGTGGAGAAGGTGGCAAATCAACTCGGAAGGAATGGGGAGCCAATGCCAGCAAGTAGAATTGTGGAGAAAATTTTGAGATCATTAACAGATGATTTCAAGAGCATTGCATGCGTAATTGAGGAGTCAAAGGACTTGTCACTTCTCTCAGTGGAAGAGCTCGCAGGATCACTCGAAGCCCACGAATAAAGGAGGAGGAAGATGAAGGATACTCTTGATCAAGCATTACAAGCGCAACTTGATTTGAATGGAACTCGGAACACCCAGGACCGAAGATCAAGTGGACAAGGACGAGGTGGTCAAGGACGAGGTAGAGGACGAGATGATCATGAAGGTGGACAAGGACGAGGTGATCGTAGCCAAGGAAGTCAGCCAAGGTCGGAGGTGGAATGTTATAAGTGTGGCAAACACGGCCACTATGCAAAGGAATGTGGACAAGGACGAGGTGATCGTAGCCAAGGAAGTTAGACAAGGTCGGAGGTAGAATGTTATAAGTGTGGCAAACACAGTCACTACGCAAAGGAATGCAGATCGGCAAATTGCTACAACTGTGGCAACTACGGTCACATAGCAAAGTATTGCCGAGCTAAAAGCCGAAGTGAAGAGAAAGAGAAGAATCTACTCACAGAAGAAGAGGACGAGGAAGCAGGAATTTTGATGATGACGCAGAGCTCGGAGACCAAGCTACGTCCGAGCTATGCCTCCGAGGTTGAGCTAAACTTGAGTTGCGTGGAGAGATCAGCAGTTGAGCTTCCGACCTCAGATGAGAAGTCAGAAGCCGAGCTTGATTCGGGTTGCTTAAACAACTCGGTCTGGTATTTGGACACTAGAGCGAGCAATCATGTGTGGAGAAAAAAGTTTCTTCAACGAACTCATCAAGGTGAAGGCTGGATTCGTGTCATTTGGGGATGATTCCAAGGTGGCGGTAAAAGGGCGTGGAACCATCAGGCATATGCAGAAGAATGGACAAGTTGGAGAAATAAGGAATGTCTACTACGTTCCCGAGCTTAAGAATAACATCTTAAGCATGGGGCAGATGATGGAGAAAGGCAACTCGGTTCTGATGAAGGATCGAGTGCTTTATTTGAAGGACAAGCATGATCGTTTAATAGCCCGAGTGGAGATGAAAAAGAATCGGATGTATAAACTGGAGCTGAACATCATTCAAAATAAGTGCTTGAAGCTGGACGTGAAGGATGAAGCCATGATGTAGCATTCTCGTTTTGGGCATTTAAACTTTGAAGGTTTGGCCGAGCTATCAAGGAAGAAGTCGATGCAGGGACTACGTGGTGTTGAGTTTGACAAGAAGTTTTGTGAAGCAAATTTCATTAATAAATCTGTAAAATTCTTTCGCACAAAATACATTTACAAATATCATTATAGTAAAAACATCACATTAAATCTAATTAATATTACATAATTATTTTAATCTAAGATCGGAAAATGACAGACAACAAATTTCAAAACACTTTAAGAAGCAGATTTCTAATTTCATTATAGAAAAAGCGACAAAACTTAATTCCTAGGATGATAGGGACAAGGTGATAAGACAGACTTGCAAGAAGGTAGAATTGTGGAAAGAAGTTAAATCTAACATAATAAATGTAGGATTCTGACAACAATCCATACCAAGTTACTAGGCCCAAGAGGAGAATCAAGAGGCCCACATACCTTCCTCACTTTGTGTAATTGGTTATAGTCACTCAGGAAGGATAAGATACTATTATCATATTATTTGGTTGTAATTGTCACATGCATTATTTTCATTCTACTATATTCCTTTTCCCTAAATTGCGTTGAGCGAAGGATTACCAACATTTTGTATAAACAATGCAGAAATGAATGAAAATGGTAGAGAATTAGCAAACTATTCCTTCTTTAGCATTAGACTAGCCATTAGTATCCTATATATCAACCAGTGCGACCTGCCCTTTCACCATGACTAGACACAATACCAGAAAAATGGCTTAAGGATCTTGGTTTAGTTACTATAGATTACACTTCTTTTACCATACAATTTAAGTGCATGCCCACCCTATCGTGTTACATGCTGATGTACCACTCGCCTCAACCCAACAAACCAAATGACTTTTCTAGACACATGTTGCCTCAACCAACCCTATTTCACTTAGCCATTTTACCTGACCCAAAACCTCATCTCCCCAACCCTTCCATTTCTACCACGACTCTACCACACCCAACCCTTGAACCCCTGCGTACCCAATTCGACACCCTCTTCCATGAACTTTACCAACTTCCACCCCACTGTAACATTGCCCACCATATACACCTCCTTCCAAACACTACCCCTGTTAATGTGTGTCTTTAAAAAAATAATTGAATTAGAGAAATAGGTCACCACTGTAGAATAATAAGAGACGAGTAATACTAATATTGTGTGAACGTAGCAACTCACTGTACTTTTTATTGAATAAGAGATGACCTTTAAATAGCCATTGTACAATCGTACCGAATTAACAAGACGATAACAAAATATCTTATCAAAACAAATCTTATCAAAAACTATCTTATCTAAAATGAAACAAATAACTCAACAGACTAAACAAATAGTTCAAAATAACTAACTAAGCAGATTTCTAATTTCATTATAGAAAAAGCGACAAAACTTAATTCCTAAAATGATAGGGACATGGTGATAAGACATACTTGCAAGAAAGTAGAATTGTGGAAAGAAGTTAAATCTAGTATATTAAATGTAGGATTCTGACAACAATCCATACCAAGTTACTAGGCCGAAGAGGAGAATCAAGAGACCCACATACCTTCCTCACTTTGTGTAATTGGCTATAGTCACTCAGGAAGGATAAGATACTATTATCATATTATTTGGTTGTAATTGTCACATGCATTATTTTCATTCTACTATATTCCTTTTCCCTAAATTGCGTTGAGCGAAGGATTACCAACATTTTGTATAAACAATGCAGAAATGAATTCTTCATTTAGCTAATGAAGTTGATAAGGTTTGGGATGGGGAATTGGAGTGAGGTCTAGCTTCTCAACCAACTGTCGCAACCCAAAAATTTCTGATCTCGCGACCTATAGTTTAGACATCCTTGCGTAGGAAGTAAAGAGCAAGTGGCTGATATCTTTACAAAACCATTGCCGACAACAACATTTTAGAAGTTAAGGAAGTTACGGAATGAAAGAAGAAGGAGAAATTTAAGATTATGCGGGAGTTTTGTTAAATAATCTTAAATTTTAGAGATATCCGAGTTAGTTATTTGGAATTATTTGTTTAGTCTATTTTATCTTTTGAGTTATTTGTTTCAGTTTAGATAAGATAGTTTTTGATAAGATTTGTTTTTAAGATATTTTTTGTTATCTTCTTGTTAATTTGGTACGTTGTACAGTGGCTATTTAAAGGTCATCTCTTATTCAATGAAAGAACAGTGAGTTGCTACGATCACCCATAATTTTAGTATTACTTGTCTCTCTTTGTTTTTCTACACAATGGACCTTAACAAGATCAGATGTCAACAACAAATTCTTAATAAGCTTTAAAAGTTTACTACTTTTTACAATTTTCTAATCATCCCAGGATTCTTAAATTCGTCATGGTGGAAAAGGGAATATCAAGTGCAAAATTCATTTCAAATTGAAACAACTATTAACACACTATATATAAAACACTGAGGCAATAAAAAAAAGTCAAATCAACAATGATTATTCTTTAGTAAATGCTAAAATATTACCATATCAACTGGGGAGCCAATACAAACAGCAAAAAACCCCGCTCCAAGACCAGCAAGGAGATGAGTAACAACATTGTCAGTGAATCCTGGAATTTTCAAAATAGTCTGCATAAAACAACATAGTTATTTACATATATAAATGAGAAAAGTTTGATCCACAGTGCTAGGCCTCAAGACACTTTTAAATTACCTGCTTCACTTGATCACAGCTGGCTAATTCAGCAGCATTGATGATAGCATTTCTTGCTATATTGGGGCCAAGCCCGGTCCAAAGAGCCTGAACTCCTTCCTGTGTGTTAGATGTAGGTTAGAATAAAAATAATTACAACAAAAATGAACCAAATATATTTTTCTCTTCAATAAACTATATTGGGTTGCACAGACCTGTCTCACAATTGTTGAATAAGCATATAAAGATCCAGAGTAGCGTCTGGGAACACCATGAGGTAATTTCCCTTCTGCTTGAAGTCTAACTTTGACCAGATCAGTTGGATTTGCCACTGCAATTGCCACAGCACCTGTTGACAATACAAATTTAAGGAGTTCAAAATTGAGTAATTGCTATGAGTATTTAGATAGGAATAACACAAGTTCCTACCAAGAAAAAGTAAATATTCATAGATTAGAAAATAAATTCATATAATAACAAATATACAAATTATTCCCAATATTTCCAGCATTGGGCTTTACCAGTTGTAAATGCAGCAAGAATTTTCTTTGACAATGGAACATCACCAACATGGTCCTTTCCCACATATAAAGTCTTAACCTGTTAACAACACATGTGATGTACAACATAAGATAACACAATCAAACAGTATATAAACTAAAATAAATGAACTATATTCAGCAACAATATTCAAAACTCAGTGGCTCATATAACCCAATTCATAAACCTGCATAAAAACATTGATGATGTAACCCTGGCACAATGCCCTTCCAGAGAGCTGAAAGACCTTCTTCTCTGGCAATGGTTGCCACTGTTCCCAGCATACCCTTATATTTAGGTAAAGAGACTGCATCACCAGCTACAGCTTGTTTTTGAAGTTTAAGCCTAACTTTGGCAGTGTCCAAAGGAATAGTACACACCTATTTCAAATGCAAGAACTTAATGACTAATCTGAGTAAATAGCCGCAAATGAGTACTTCGAAAATCAGTATGATGACTAACAAGTGAGCAGGATACAAGAAACACACCAAAAAATCGGTCACAAATATATAACAAGACATATCAATCTCCAATAACAGGAAGTCGGGTCAGGACAAAAATCAACATATGTCAAGAATACTGTTGCCATATAAACCTCAGATAATGCAAATGATGCTTCATACTTACGAGATAATTTAGAGGATTATTCAATTTTTAAAGTATGTAACTGTGTTGTGCTTAGGGGTGGGTATGCGGACCGGTCCGGCCCGTTTAAGGCCCGGTCCGCGAAATCCGCATTTTTAACGGGCCGGATAAATCCGGTCCGCGAAATAAATGGACTTAAATTTTCAAGTCCGTATCCGGCCCGTGAAACCCGCGGATAAACGGATAAGTCCGCGGGCCCAATTAAATCTAAATTTTTTTAATGAATATTGACACATTTAATGAGATTTTGAATTTCTTTTTCTTTATTTAACCTATGAAAACATGAGGAAAAAAAATACATATAAAATGATATAAATATACTTCTAATAGTAACATCAAACATTATATAAATAATAAACCAAAGTCTTAAATAACAAAGTTTATACATTCTAAATTTCTAATAGAAATATTTAAGTCTCAATGCCTTTAAAATTTAAAGTCCAAGCATACCAACTATTAACCAAATATTAAAGCCTTACTACCTTAAAACTTTAAAAGTCTTAATACACAACCAAACAAATTTAAAGTTCCACATTTAAACGGGTAATCCGCGGGCTCGCGGATTAAATCCGCAAAATCCGCGGACTTAACGGGCCGGACCTAAAAAGTCCATATGATTATACGGATTAAAAAAATTGAGTCCGTTATCCGTGAAGTCCGCGGACTTACGGACCGGTCCGCGGACTCGAGTCCATATACCCACCCCTACTTGTGCTACCTAAGATTAAATACATAACAGCTACATCTATACACTGTATTTGGATGACTGGTTAGGATGACAGATGGGAACAAGGGAAACACAAAAATATTTCTTCCTTGGGAGTTTAAAATAAAATGAAAGAAACAAATTCAAGAGGTGGAATGGTGGAAACTTGAGGGGTAATGGAGTTCGATAGCATTTGCTCACTGTACCTACAAAGAGGATACACCAATGATCTTCTCGCAGTCTGAAGGCCGAACGAGTGCTCCGATCCGATGTGAGTAGAGGGGTTGGTACCTGCAGAAGGCACTCCAACGCTCAAGTCAGGACAAGCACAGATATCTAGGATAATTAATGAACAGTGACGTTACCTTTTTTCCTGAGCTATTTATACTGACATTTATGGGCCCTGGACCCCATGGGCCCTGTGACGTACTTACCGTATTAGGTAATACACCTTAATCGACTAATTAACCCCTAATCTTTGATTAAGAGTACCAAATGATGGTAGGCCGATCCTGGTGGCCGATTGGCATTCGGCTTCCTAGTTCCGCCATTCGGCGGCCGATGGGGTGGTGGCCGAACCCCCCTACCTGTACACTCACTAATCATCAAATCTGTGGGGAACAATAGCTTTGTTTCATTCGTTTCCTTCTCTTTTCTTCCCATTCCCACTTGTTTGTTCCATTCGGTTAGATTAATAACAAATCATCCAGAGTTTATTACCATTACCAAGTCAAACATTTTGTCAGGGCATATACAAGTCATCAAATGTTGATCCTTGAAAAGGCAAACAGCTTGCAATGCATACTTTTCATCATGTCAGAGCAGTCAAAATCCACTGTGACCACCATTGACTAACAAAAACTATTATTAACAGAAAGAGATAAACTCAAACGCAAAGAAAAAAGTTATTTTTTTGTTTGTTCAGCACATCTCTGAATTTTACAAAGATCACTTATTTTACAAGCTCTTTTTAGACAAAACAACAAAATCATATCACATAAGCAAAAGATCCCTATACATCTAACAAAGACTGATCCTGTGTTCGGCTTAGCAGTGGAGGGAGACATTTAAATCCACATTTGGTGATGTCTAACGAGATTCTCACCAAAACACAAACTCTGCATTGAGTTAACAACACAAACTTATTCTGAGATGAAAATTTCGAAAACATAAATCACTTCAAACTTACTCTTAACCAAAAATCAATTTTACAAAATCCAAAACAATGCTAGCAAACTATATCACCCAAATACGAGTAGACACAAATTGAAAATTGAAAACCATCACCCATTCGAAAATTATATATCACTAAACTCAGTTAGACCATACTCAGACACATTCAACTGAACTCTGAGTCCCACAAAAACATTGACTTGATCATCCAAATAAGTACTCTTTTTTTGTCTATAGACATAATATATGCAATATCTAATTTGTATTTCGAGAACATGACTTTTGCTGGTCATACATTATTTTAGCACAGCACAAATGAGCACCAGATGGACCTTGTGTCCCAAATTAGGAATCAACTTTGGTTATTATCTTTGATTCTTGTCTTCCTCCTCTGCGTCAAACTTTGTTCGTTGATATAGCAAGAGTTTTATTTCCTCGTTCTTAGAGTATCTTATAAATAATTTTCAACCACTTTAAATGAGTTTTATTGTGTCATGTCACTCATAAACAACTTATACTATATTTTTATAATTTTTATTTTAATAAAAATTGTTTATAAGCATCCCTATTTTTTTACAATTCATACTACATTTTTTGACACCTTACACTACACTTTATGATAAATTTTTATAAAATTAATTATTATGGATAATATATAAATATGAATAACAAACAAAAGAAATTACATAATAAAAAAATTACAATAATAAAAAGAAATTACATAATAAAATAAAATTATCAAAAATTACAACAAAATTAAATATAAAAATTAAATATGCACTAATAAAATTATAACAATATAAATTCAATTACAATAAAAGTAGTTTAATTTGTGTAAATTAAAATTATAATAATATTTATTTTTCTAATTTGCGTCTAATAAAATTACAAGTATTGATACATCGTAAATCAACGTCTAATTAGAATTATATGGCCAGCGTGCAAGTATTAGTACTTCATAAATCAACATCTAATTAGAGTTCAACATCGTGTATTGAATTGTTTTGCCTAGGCAATTTATATATATATATATAGAGAGGAGGGTTCAAACGACACCAGTGTAACTTTTACTAAGTGTTACACCGCTCAATAACTTTATATTAAATGTGAATTTTGTAAATCCAACCGTTAGATGGAAAGTTCATATCTCTTAGATCATATATGTCAAATTTTGTTAAAATTGAACAACAACTTGAAGGTAATCAAAGTGTTCATATTTTAGTATATTTTGAAATGTATATATTACGTCAATTTTGTTTTATGAGAATGAAGTATCAAATCATCTTAGAATAATATAAAATTTGATATATATGATCTAAGAGATATGAACTTTCAATCTAACGGTTGGATTTACAAAATTCACATTTAATATAAAGTTATTGAGCGGTGTAACACTTAGTTAAAGTTACACCGGTGTCGTTTGAACCCTCCTCA